GCTGCCGCACACTGAGTCAACAAATTCACCAACACAACTCCCATGATAACTCCTCCTTCGAGTTTCCACACTGTCAAATTAGCAAACCACTTAAGCCCGTAAAGTAGGAAATATTTAAAATGCTTTTAAGCCAATAAGAAATGTAAGTGAGTATGAATAACATAACTCGCGATGTGTACCTATGAACAGCTTTGACGGCATGGAATACACAAAGAGAACTAAGAAAGCATTGGTACTCATAAATAAGAATCGTACAAAAGGGTATTAAACAGACATAATTGATCAACATTCGGATAACTTCGGATGTGATCGGATGTGGTTCAAAGCCGAAAACAAGTTGGGAGATGAGAAGACGTCAACATTCCTTTTCCTCTAGGGCTTGTTTCACACTATCTCGTCGTGCAAGGATTTAAATCGCTTTGGGAAGCAGAATGAAATTTCGCAGCAAACAGTAAATATTCGGGAGAAAGTATGCATCACTATAGAAAAAACCCAATTTTCTTCACATTAGGTTTTTGAAAAAACGAACACAAAATCGTTATGAATTTTTGGCAGCAGCATTAAAATAACGGCAGTCTTGAAAAAGCCATTTACTAAGAACAATTTACGATCCTGTTCGCAACAGGTTTCGGAAACCCAAACCAAACGAATGAGTTCTTCTGCAAAGACTAAAATGTCACCCACAAACAGACACCAGCTAAATAGTTATTTTGAAGTACATGATTTTGGAAGCCTGCGAGTTACAATAAGTGTTAGAGAAGTTAATTATTATTTCAGAATGAAATAAACTTAAAATTCGAATAGCAATGTGGGTTTGAACAGATGCAATTCATCTTCAAAAGTACCGTGACCCAATGCTGCAAGGCAAAAGGTTTATTTAAAATTAACGGCACCATTTCTCGTACGTGTGCAACAATAAGTTCCAGTTGCTACTGCTTTTCTCCGATACAACACTCCACTGTCTGCAAAGGGAAGCCTCTTGCTGCAGGAAATGGAAAAAAGTAGAAAGTGTGCATGTGTAACGGAGCAAAATGTCAGTTATTCACTGACGTCTTTTTTCGAGGAAAAGGAAGCGATGTATATACATAGTTTATAAAGCAGCCAAAGGATCAATTCCGGGGTACACGTTCAAGCATTTTAGCATTTTAGTGCTTATTTCACATGAAAGTGAGGAGAGGACGTAGTATATCCTTTCCAATTTATTCACATAATTTTAGCGTCGTAGATAGACAACGGATAGCGTTAATACCGACATTCCATTAATGATGACTAACTAAAATGAGGGATTGGTAAATGATGATTCAAAAAAGCTCAAATTAAAACTAATCCTACCTCCAAACAGAACTGATAAAGGTGGTAAGAAGTTTAGTGACCAAGGTAGGACTAACCGAGAGAGCAACATAGAAGGCCCAGTGGTCACTCTGCGAACCTTCAGTCAGTTCAGCACGGCACGCGTCGGCAAGAGCCTCGGATCCAAGGGGTACCTCAAAGGGCTCCTTGAAAGCGAGACAGGCAGAGACGGCGAGAGCAGGCTTGAGACAACAGAAGAATGTGCCGAGGATGAGTAGCTTAGCACACTGTGGGTCCATCGGCAGATTAGCCATGTGATGGCCCAGTGGTGTGAGCACATCGTTTTCTTCGGCCACTGGTGATCCTACTGTTGCTGTCTTTATGACACCCTCAAATAAACGATCTCGCTTCCGCTTTGACATGCGCGATAATTGTGCTGTCGGAACAGAATCAGTGCACGCTGGAACCCGAGGTTTGAGAGCCTGGATATCACGAAGGAATTGCAGTGTGCGCCTAATCGTCTCTAGGTCAGGCGGGTCCATGCAGCTGGAGAGGAAACTCGCCACTGGACCCAGTTCTAGAACCTACAATTCGTAAGCCAAGATCACACCCTGTGCAAAACAGAAGCAGAGAACACTTATGTTGCACTTTATGTTACAATGTATTCAAATAAATAGGAGTTCCTAGCCCTGCTTTGAACAGAAATCCCATTTTTCTTAAACTGATCAAAGATAATGGAGAGTGCAAACGCCGAAAGACATGGTAAGGGTTCACCTTGATCCGAAGAATAATGTCTTCGAGGCGGATGCGCGTGATTTCAGGTGGTAAGAAATCGAGCATGACCCGGTCGTGAGCAAAGCTAGAGAACAGATGGAAGCATTGTCCAGGGCGCACTCTGAAAGAGTTAAAGCTATGTTTACAGTGGCAGACGTCAACCTCTCAACGTCTCTGATTTTGGACACCAATCTACATCACCTTATGTCACGGAGTTAAATTGAAGAAGGTGATATTCAGGAAGTCCTCTAATAGGGACATTTTACAAAAGGACCACGAAACTACGTCTCTTAGTCGTAATCACCTTCTGAGTTAGTGGATTCAAAAACCTTCAAGCTGCCATTTCGCAGACATGGGAAGGACACAAACATAAATGATTCGCGATGAGGTAATTCAACAGAGGAAAACAAAAATTCTCGCCACTAGTAAAATGCTCACAGAAGAGCACAAAATTTAGCAAGTGCATAGTTAACCATTCCATTTAGACATGGCAAGAAAGCCTGATGTTGATATGCTACCATGAGAATAAAAACAATACGCGCAAATGCGCCCATCATGCATTAGTCGCCCGGCAGGAATTTGTCACCACGACTAGCTGAGGCATATTACAACGGTTTAAACAGAGCCACCATAGGAACCTTGTTCTGTCATATCTCATGATAAAGCGAATCTGAGCAAGGATTAAAGCTGAGCTAGTCAAGGATTCTGAAAAGGGATCTCACCTGATACAAGTATGCATTAAACGAAAAGGTTGGCATCTACCCACTTTATGCTTGTACCAGGAGTACCTCTTAGAAATACACTGATAGTGACATCCTTGCAATAGGCGTGAAAGGGTGCTAATATCTTATATTTTACGGTTAAAGTACTTATAGGGGAAACATTGGATGCATTTAGCAAAACAGTCTTGGAAATGAGGCAAAGGAGGGATGCAAACGGACTAGTGAAAAGAAGCCCAAGGGAAACTGAAAAAAGACCAACGATGTATAGCATTACTGAGGATCGAAGAGTCACTTAATTACCACTTAAAGCAATTCACCACGACCTCCATGTCCAGACAAACCTTGAGGAAACTAAAACTCTCCACTTTCTAACAAAATGTATCCGGCAGAGAGACCTAATTTGATTTCTGCTTATGGCCATTTCATGAAATAAAATTGTTACAGTGAATGTTTGCGTGCTGTGCTCGTTGAGTACACAGAGTGAACCTTCAAGTCAAATAACGCATAACTTTCTGCTTTTCAATAAAAAGTAAATGCACAACAACAAAGAAACGGCAAGGAGATCCCGAAATGTAAATGAACTCTTTGTGAAGATAGAAGGCTTATTGACTAAAGGCAAAAGTGGGAGACTAGATAGGATTGATAGATGGTAAGTGACCCATGCCAATCTGCAATGGCGATGTTGCACTGCCTGCGTTCGTAAAGGCAATCAATCAATGCAGTGCATGGATGCATAATCGCTCATGGGCGTATGTACATGGTTACGTATTCGGAAGGAAATGACAACTGGAAGAACGAGTTGTTTCTTAGATAGATGTCCGCTGACCAGAAGAGCGAAAGTCTATCGCAGAAAAATGAAATCAAAAGGCAGTTGACAGTACCACAGGTAAACGCCCATCAAAGTTGAAAAGAGAAGCTCATTTTCAGTTGCGTTAATGACAATGTAAAGCGTTAAACATTAGGGTGAAGTGACACAAATCAAGATAATATCTAACATCACTTCGCATTATTGACAGCAAAAGTGTATTTCCAGTAAGATATAGCAAGCGTTGTTTATAAAAATGCATTTGTATTATCGAAGCATTCAACATTGCAAGAGTATCGGAATTAGTCGGGAAAGGATAACGCACCGACCAGCCCGACCTCGTCTTTGGGCTGCATTGGCTTTACTCACGAGGACGCGCGCAAGGGTAGACGTATTGGTGCTCGGGTCGTAGGTAGTGATCTTTATCTGTCCACTGTCCACTACATACACTATATCCTCGATTGTAATGCTAAAGGAGAACGGTGTAGTTATAAATAAATTTTTGCTGCTCGAACCCTTGTTTTACACGATTAGATGAATTAGGGGGGAAAAAACAGTCCTGTAGTTCTAAACACAGTAAATTGGCTCTTCACATGGACTACTCGGTGCCAAGTTCGTATCGAGTTCGTCAGATTATAGTGATTAATACTCGGTAACCT